TGGCCGAGGGGGAAGAGGGGGTGGGCCAGAGGCCGCCGGCAGTGCCACGATCATGGACCACCGGGCAAACGCGGCGCGGCTGGATGACACCACCGGTGACGTCACGCACGAGCTCCGGAGGAGCGGGGTGGGGAGCGCGGGGGCGAGGCCGGCAGTGGACGCCGAGACGGGCAACAAAGGGGGGGACTAGCCGGAGCGAGGCAGCGCACACCCCGGGAAGAGAGGAATGGTAAGCCTGGCTCCGCACTGGGAGCCATAGGAACCGTCGGGGAAGAAGTGGCCCAGGGCAGGGCTATGGAACCTGTGAGTGGAGGGTTTAGGGGCTACAGTCCCCTCCATTGAGTAGGGACGAGTGTCCCTGCCTTAGGGCCCTGGGCCGGGGCTTGGAGAGAGGGAGGGCCTGAGCCTCCTTCCTCGACTCTGGGGGTCCATTTACGCCGAACCCCTAGGGGCTCTTGCGAACACAAACCCGGTCTGGAGTAGGACCAGTCAGAGAGAACCACATAGAGGTCCCTAAAGCCATAGACATTTTTTGGCTCATACGGGGGAGCTGGGGACGATTTGGGGGAACTGGTGACAAGTGATCCACCTCCCTGTCACTCATTTCCAGAGGCTGGGGACACCGCATATGGATCAGACCCGCCCTGTCCCCCACCTAGAGTAGAAGTTGCTGCCTCTAGAGGCTGGTGCCTGAGGCATCAGAGGGAATGACCAGAACAAGGCGGTTTATGGAGTGATCCACCCCTTGTTCCCAAGTCCCACCTTCTGAGTCGCCTTCCTAGCCTGTAATGTAGATGTAGCCACTACCGAGAGCACAAGGAAACGAGGGAGGACTGGCTGGGTTCAGGGGCAGAGGCCTCAGCACTCCAGTTGCCTGGCCACTCTCACATGTGCAGGAAACATGGTAGAACACGCACTTTGAAGAGAGAGAAGCATCAGCGCCAACTCCCCCGCGGGGTACTCGACCTTGCCCTCCATCCCGGACTCCACCCCTACTCTAGCACTTCCCCCAAGCTCCTGCCTCTTTCTGCCCCTCCCTTGTCTCCTCCCTCAAGCATGTCTGATGCTCGCTTCCCCCCTTCCTTTCCTTTCCTTCCCTCCCTTCCTCCCAGGATATGTCTACACTACAGAGTTTTGTGGGAAACACGGCCGTTTTTCTGACAAAACTCGGGGAACATCCACACTGCAATTGCGTTCTTCTGCAAGAAAATCGAAAGAACACAGGTTTTTTTTTCCAGCATTGGCAATCCTCATTTTACGAGGAAGAAGCCTTTTTGTGAAAGAAAGCCTTTCATAAAAAGGTGTGTGTGTGTGTGTGCGGACGTGGAAGAGGGATTATTCGAAAGAAAAGGAAAGAGGAAAAAGCACAGGTGCCTTGGTGGCCGCTCTGTCCATAGTAATCACAGCTTAAATGCGAGATAGCGTCCATTCGGTGTGACGCTATCTTTCGAAAAAAAGCAGAATGCTTTTTCCATGTACTTTTGCTGTGTGAACGCTCTCTTTTGGAAGAAGTTTTTTTGGAAGCTCTCTTCCGGAAAAGCTGCTTCCGAAATAAGCCTGCAGTCTAGACGTAGTCCCAAAGCTTTCTGAATCCTGCAAATCCGCTGTTTATGTGGCAAGTGCTGGGAGATCACGACAGTATTTTCGCTCCGTCTGGCTTGGCCCCACAGACATCCTGGAGCTGCCTCTTCATTCGTCTGGTCTTCAGCAGCCTTCCCAAGGCTCAATCCTGCCTGCACTAAGCTGGACTGGGTCCTGCTGCTCTTCCAGCCAGCCAAGAACCCACTATCCTCTCTTCCAGCTGCAGGCACCAACTGACTCTGATTGGCACTTTCCTCTGCAGCCACTCTAGATTGCCTGGAGGACCTCTCCACTGCTCTTTTCTGGGGTGGGGTGACGTGACGCAGGGCCACAAGGGGGCCTCCAGTCCACCCCTTCACATTGTGTCTTATTAATGCCTTATTAATTCTATCTGACACGTCAACTAACTTGTATGAATGCCTGTTTAAATGGTTCGACAGACAGAACAGCAAAAGACGAGAACAAAACGAGACAGATGATGTTTACAGAAGTAAGATATTATCACGGTGGAACTTTTGCAACCATGACTCCACCTCCAAACAGGCAAGAAAGCCGTGGAGTCCTGGGGTGGATGGAGGCTATTTTCCTGTTGTGTGCAATACAATCTTGGGTGGGATTTTTTTCCAGATCCGTTGGGTTATTCCAATTCTGTCGGAGTGACAGGCTCTTGAGCCTGACGTTGGGGTGTGATTTACTGATAGCCTTTGGCATTGGCTTCAGGTTGTGTGATGTGGCTTGAAAAGTGCATGTCTGTTTCTGCCCGAACAGAGCCTTCCATGCTGTAAGTCCGACAGTCGCTCTGTTGAAGTGAGTGGAATGATGCCAATTTACATCAACTTAAGATTGAGCCTGGGGTGGCGGGTGTAAGAGGCAAGGGAAATCGTTGCCTTCTCACCCTGCCTGGTGTGGCCTTGCCCACACTCTGCCCCCTGCTTCAGTGCAGTTCCTAGGCTGCCCTGGAGTGTTAGCCCCATTGAGGTTAGGGATGCTGGGGTACTGCACTCAGACCGTGCACCACCCACCCTCCCTGTGCACCTGCGTGGGGGAGATTCACACGGGGCTGGAGATCTGCCCCTGAAATGCAGGAGCGTGGCTCCTTCAGGGAGCAGGGCCTCATGTGGGAGAAGTGGGGCTGGCGGGTTGCCTTCCCCAGCCTTAGGTTCACCCCCCACCCATGACGGAGCCCTTCCAGGAACATGGGAAGGGTGACCCATGCCCTTCTGGCTTACCCAATCCATTTAAGATACAGCATGTAGAGATGTGGGTGGACTCATTTCACCAGGCTCCCCTTGCTAGCCTGAGTTGCTCCAAGGCAGCTGAACCCCGAACAGAATGGCGAGTGGGAACGCTCCGCACCACTAGTGCCTACGCTGTGTAAGCAATGACACCACCCCGCCCGCTCCATCACCAGCCGTTTCATTCTCCGGCGTGGACCTGGCGAGAGGGGCAAGCCTCTTCGTCGTATCGAGGTTTCTAAGGGCTGCCTGGAGAGAAGTCAGCTCATTCTCCGGACGGCGTTGCTACATCTTCACCGTGGCGCCGGAGCCAGGCGCTGCGATGCATGGTTTAATTAATCTATAAGGCAATAATGAGCAGCAATGTGCTTATTAGCAGATAATCACACTCCTGGGACATTAGCAGTTGCCAGCTTCACACCCCCCCCTTGAGGCCTGAACTCTCTGAGGAAGAAGATTAGCGGATGGTAATCACACTGGTTGTCTTTTTTGTCAGCAGAGAACTAATCTCGCTTGTGGGGGAGAGAGAAGAAAGAGGAGGAGGGAAAGATTTAAACCCTTCAACAGCACTCCCAGTTGCCTGCGCGCAGTGTACTTGAAATAACATTGTGAGCACGTAGCAAATACTCCATTAAGCTGGAGCGTTTTATTATGAAAGCAGGAGCACTCCACAGATAGCACTTTGCTGAATATAGACAGGGAGTTAAGAGGGGGGAGAGGGGCGGGAGTGACTATGAAGGGCTGCAGCCACAACTAATGTGAGGCCGCTCGTGCCCCAGCTGAGGTTGGGCCTGGAAATGCGGGCGGGAGAACACCAGCTCTAGCTGCATGTAATCTGCTCGGCGAGGTCCCTCGCGCTGGTGCGCTTTTGAGGTGCGGAACAGGATTTCCCCAGGGAATTCCTCCTGGCTGGCTTGAATAAGCTCCCGGGTTTCATGGGGCCTAGTCGCTCCCCAGACTACACACTTCTATGCATAGGCGCCAGGGGCACCCCCCAGCCAGGCCCCTCTGTCCCATTGCCTCTCACTGCTGACTCAAGTGATCAATTCCTGCCCTCATAAGAACATAAGCACAGCCGTGTGGGTCAGACCAAAGGTCCACCAAGCCCAGTGTCCTGTCTGCCAACCGTGGCCAGTTCCAGGTGCCTCAGAGACAAGGGTTAGACAGTGAGAGAGGCTACCCAGAGAGGCAAGGAGTGAGGGGGGCAGGATACACGCGGGGGGCCAGTTTTCAAGCAGGCTCCCCTTGCATGCGGCTCCGCGAACCCATCTGCCTCCCCCATGCTGCAGAGGGAGCGGGGGTGGGCAGGCAGGCAGGAGCACCGTGGTGCTGGGGGAACTGACTTAAAAGCCAAGCTCCCTTGTGGCCTCCCCTTCTCCCCCTCAGCCTCTATCAGCAACCCATGTCAGTGGGGAGTCCAAGGTCCATGCAGATAGAGACTGCTCCATGGCAGCTGCTGTATTAGAGGCAGCAGTGCAAAGTGGCAGGCAGCCGGTCTGCATGGGGAGCTGGTTTATAAACTGGCTCCCCCCGCGGATCAGCCCCGCCTCTATTTGCAGTGACTTGACTTACAAATAGTCAAGTAACTGCCAAGATTTCATGTGATTACATGCCTCTTCCATTACACAACATCTAACATCCCTAACGTTTGAAACTATTTTCCCAAGTGCCCAGCATTTCCCTCTATAAACACAGGGAAAGGCATTGAAAGAAATCAAGAGCAAGTGAAATTATTCCAACAAAGAGCCTCTATTTGCAGTGACTTGACTTACAAATAGTCAAGTAACTGCCAAGATTTCATGTGATTACATGCCTCTTCCATTACACAACATCTAACATCCCTAACGTTTGAAACTATTTTCCCAAGTGCCCAGCATTTCCCTCTATAAACACAGGGAAAGGCATTGAAAGAAATCAAGAGCAAGTGAAATTATTCCAACAAAGAGAATTGGCTGCTGCAGCCTCTGCCGGGTGGGTTACCTACTGCTCTACACTAAGCATCTTTCACCCCATGAGAAATACTCTCAGTATAGGCTGAACCTCTCTAATCTGGCACTCTCTGGTCTGGCAGCATCCGTGGTCTGGCAGGATTTTAGTTAGCCGGATGTCCACTTGTCAGGGGTGTGAACAAGTTTCCTGCGGTCTCATAAAGTTTATACAGCTGTGAGTCCTGGCTCTCAGCGTTCTGTGCTCTTATTGAGCTCTAATTAATCTCTAAATGTCTTCTAAGGGCCCAGTAAGCAGTGGAAGTGTGGGTAATGCTGCTAGACAGTCTTGACCTGCTGCGATTTGGCAAATTCTCTGGTTTGGCACCAGTCATGTCCCAAGGGTGCTGGACTAGAGAGGTTCAACCTGTATTAGAATAAAGCCAGGAATGTTTGGAAAAACAAAAACTGGTCCAACTTTGGGCTCAGCGTTTCAATTCATCCTTAGAAACAAATTCCCTCTTATTTAGCAAAAGCTGTAACTTTGCCTTCGAAGTGATGTACCATGGTGATGCCCCTGTGGGATCTATCCACACAGCCTCTTGCATTCACCAGGTGCTCTGCTGGCTCTCAGTGGTGATTTCAGGATCGGGGCCATAATTGCATAGCGCAGGGTCAGCACAAATGATGATGATGCAGCTGTGACCCTAAGAACCCTTCAGTGCTAAATGGCTGAAGGCCCATTGGTCTGTTAAGTCTTTCCAGGTCTGACACATTCACTATACTGAATGCACTCTTGTCCTAGTATTTCCCTGTAACGAGTGAGGTGTGGCGTATCAAATGAAAGCCGGTCATTAATTCATGTTACACCTCTCTAGTCCAGAACGCTGGTCTGGAAACATCCGTCATCCAGAATGATTTGAGTTAGCTGGATGTCCACTTTTCCTGGCTGTAGCCAAGTTTCCCATGGACTCATAAAGTTTGTTTACAGCCACCAGGCCTAGCTCTCAGAGTTCGATGCTGTTATTTAGTTCTCATTTACCCCTGAATGCCTTCTAACAGCCCAGTGAGCAGTGGAAGTGTTGGTAAGGCTGCTAGACACTATTGACCTCCCGTGGTCTGGAAAATTCTCTGGTTCAGAACCATTCAGGTCCTGAGTGTTCCGGACTACAGAGGTTCAACCTGTATTGTTGTGCGATGAATGGATGGATGGCGTGTGAAGCATTGCTTATGTGTGCTGTTACCGTGTTTGTCAAATGTATGTTGAGGGCAGAATTGATGAGTCTGCTAGGCTCAAAGGATTGTCGATGTGTCTGCCTTCCTAGGTCTCAAATGTCAATTTAGCCTGATAAGGCAAATACCACAGGAGATATATTTGCACTGGTTTTCAGGGGGTTGATGGAAATAGCATGGTGCCAACACCCTGGAGATTTCACCTCCGTCTGAATCCCAGACAAAGACAATGAATTCTGGGCAATATCAGGAGAAACAAAAGGGCTTGTGATTCATCATCCCTTCCATTGCTTCCTGGGCTGTTAGAAAGCATTTAGGGGTAAATTAGAACTAAATAACAGCGGGAAACTTGGCCAAACCCAGGAAAAGTGGACATCTGGCTAACTCAAATCATTCTGGACAACGGATGTTTCCAGACCAGAGAGTTCTGGACTAGAGAGGTTCAACCTGTATTAATGACCGGTGCATCACCTTCGTTTGATACACCACACCTCACTCGTTACAGGGAAATACTAGACAGCCCTATGTCTCTCTGAACAGTAAATTCCCTCCCATGTGGGCGGATGACACAGAAAGGTTGCTGTAAGTAAGAAAGGCACCTTTATTGCAGGTCAAGCAGTAGTCATGTAGAAGTGTGTTATTCTTTGGGTTGGTTTGTAACTAGTTCTGTCTTCATTGTTATTGCTTAGAACCACTTCACTCTGTTGTACCCTGGCTATATCTCAGAGCTGTGATATTAAGCAGGCTGTGAATGCTGGGATCAGTGCCTTAGAGACAATGGGAGGAGCTGCCCCTGGGGAGCTCAGAACCTTAACTGCCCTGAGGGCTAACCCGCTAGGCAAAGTTCGGACTGGCGGAATCCTGAGAAATCCACGGGGCTGGCCAACAAACTGCAATGGCAGGGGGTTGTCAACAGGCTCAACAGAATTGCTGGCCCCTGTGCGGGGGGAGGAGGGGTGAAGTTGACTCTGTGCTCCCAGAAGAGGCCTCAGAGCAGAGCCTCGGGCAGAAGGGTCGGGCTAGAGCAGCCAGCCCTCAGCACCACTGGGGCCATGCTGTGCTCCTCCCCCCCAGCCAGTCCTTAGTGCTGCCTGGAGTGCACCACCGGGGCTCCAGCGGTGATTTAAAGCGGGGCAGTGGTTCCCCCCCCAGCCCCGTTGGTGGGCCTGCTCAGGTTGGTGTTATATCAGCAGATCCCGTTCATGCTGAGCTAGAGGGGTAACAGGGTGACATAGTTCTGGATACCCCAAGAAAGCATCACAGCAATGCCGTCAGGTCTGACATTTCTGAGGCCTCCCCTATTATACAGTCCATGCTGAGGGGCAGAGCACTGACAACTGATTTATCTGTGAGTCATAATATCACATGATCTTCCAGCCAGCTTGGCTATAAGTGCTATTTGGAAATATACATTATGCATAAAAAAACATAAAGTCTGAGATTTTTATAGAGCAATTACTTCCCCGAGTGTTCTGGCGCGCAATGTGTTCTGCACAGCGTCTGCCATGCCGGCTATCTGTGTGTCTAGAATATATTAGGGGCTCATGCCATCAATGCACAATTAGATCTAAATCATAATCCTCAAACGTACTGGCATAGCCTGTTTTCCTAACTTTTTGTTTCAAAAGCCTGGGCAGACAATAGCCCCGTCTCTGAAGAAAACAGTGTTTGACTTACCTAATCAAAGGCTTGTGAGGAAAACACCTCCAAGAGCCAGGCTCAGAAAGGAAAAGACTCTAAGGAGATCCGCTCTTTGTTCCTGTGCGACAGTGTGCAGAGTGTAATTTACAAGTATATAAAAGACTGAATGTTATGCCCATAATGCCCAAGACCCTTCTATGTGCGTGTGTATTTATTTGTTGAGATCTCTTGTGTATCTCTGTTTAGCAAAGGTCTCTTCGTTCATAGTAAAGCTCTCTATGAAGGAGTTGGTCTGGATATGTAACAAAAGTAACGCTATCACTTGGGAGCAAATATATGCAAAATAGAATGCAAATGGTGTTGGGACACATTGGATTTCCAGGTGAGGCACGTGCTGAATAATTCACTCTATGATGCTCGGGGCTCATGTCAAGTCGTGGTGCCAGGTTTCCATCCAAAGAGACAGCATTTGTGTGAGTGCACGTGTGTGTGTGTGCGCGAACAATTGACACCACAGATAACTTTTACTGAATACTGAATCTTACTCATAGGCTACGTCTAGACTGGCATGATTTTCCGCAAATGCTTTTCATGGAAAAGTTTTCCGTTAAAAGCATTTGCGGAAAAGAGCGTCTAGATTGGCACGGACGCTTTTCCGCAAAAGCACTTTTTGCAGAAAAGCGTCCGTGCCGATCTAGATGCGCTTTTGCGCAAAAAAACCCCGATCGCCACTTTTGCCATCGGGGCTTTTTTTGCACAAAACAAATCTGAGCTGTCTATACTGGCCCTTTTGCGCAAAAGCTTTTGCATAAAAGGACTTTTGCCCGAACGGGAGCAGCATAGTATTTGTGCAAGAAGCACTGATTTCTTACATGAGATCGTCAGTGTTCTTGCAGAAATTCAAGCGGCCAGTGTAGACAGCTGGCAAGTTTTTCCACAAAAGCAAAAGTTTTGCGGAAAAACTTGCCAGTCTAGACACAGCCATAAAGTGTAGCATCTCCGTACTGTCTACAGGGCCAACACTGGGGCAGATCAGCTACTCCTCCTTTGGCTTCAATGGACCTATGACAATCTACACCATTTGCCGATCTGTAACTTCCCTCAGAGTATGTCTACACTACAGAGTTTTTGTCGGCTGTTCGTATGTTCTGTTCTTATGATGGAGTTGCACCAGGGATAAATATAGGCCAACATTTGCAGCATCCTAGCTATAGACTTTTTTAAGCTGCAGCACTGACACACAT